AAAGGTGGAGGGTAAGCGAAGGAGAGGAAGGTCTTTGACCAGGGAAATTGACAGAGAGACTGCCACAATGGGCTCTAGTGTGTCAGGAAGTGTGAGGATGGCACAGGATAGGACAGGGTTCAGGTCTGTTGTTCATAGGGTCACTATGGGTCACTCTCAACTCGATGGCACCTAACAAGAAGATTGGTAAGGAAGAAGTAAAACTATCTCTGTTCACATGTTTTGAGTCTATACATAGAAAACCCCAGAAATAGTACAAGTTACTAGAGCAAATTAAAAAATTTTGTAACATGGCAGTACAAGATCAACCCACAAAAATCAACTGGATGCCTCCACATTAACAAAGAGGACTTGTGAAAGTTATCAGGAAGACAATGCCATTTACAATGTTGTCAGGTACTGTTTCAAATAGCTCCCCCAAAAGAAAAAGTTAGGAATAAATCTAATCAGGAATGTAAAAAACTTGAAACCCCATATGAATGATTGGGTAAAACCAAAAAGCACATGCACAAAAACATGACGTATATGAATAACTGTATGTAAACCAATAAAAAAATGTAAAAAATAAAAACAAACAAACCTTGAAACCCCAAATTATCTACATAAATGGAAAACAAGTCATGCTTATGGATAAGACTTGAAAATGTTTATACTACTCTTTATAGGGAAAAAATGTAACCCTCCTTTCCATTTTCACTCACCTAGTTTTCCAGCCCCTTACCTTTTTTTAAAACTTTACTTTTAGGCAAATAGTGTCTTTTTGGTCTCCAACAGTTGACTATCCTGAGCAGTTCACTTTATAGGCCTACCTACCATTTGATTCTGGGAGTGGGTTCAGTTCCAAGTTTAAGAGCTAACTAAGGGGTATAGTATTGAGGATTCCACCAGTCCATCCCCCCAGTAAGTCTAAATGAGAGAATCTTCATAGGTTTTAAGTGATTACCTTCTGATTACTGTTTTCTCAATGTGTTTCAGTTTTGTTTTTGTCCTTTTTGAATCCTTTAATCAACTGTCGCCGATGATTAACTTTCCCCCTGTATATGTATTTTTATGACTTAAATTGGTGCCATAGATAATTTGGTATGGTGTTATGAAGTCTTAAGTTCAGAGGACCCAAAAGTTATGATCTTCTATCTTATAATAGAAGAATGTATCTTTAAGCAAGTATTTTCAACTAGACCACTGAACTACTGACGTTATTTCAAGGAATAAAGGGCAGTCAGGTATCATGAGGTGAGAATGTGACTCAGTGAGATGTTAAGGTCCACTCCCAAATGGAAAAGCCATGAATTAGGAAATCAGGTAACTAAGTGTTAAATAGGTTAAGATTTGGAAAGGGTAGAATAAATCCAACTGCATGGAGGAAATAAGGCAGTCTTGGAGAGAGATGTCTTCCAGATCTGCAAATAAAGGTCTCATGATTTCCCACCTCCATCTTCCGTATTTTGTTGGAGCAGTGACTGGTGGGAAGGATCCTTTGTCCTTTTTCTAAGATTGGATTTTGTTCTACATTTTTCTCTGTGACCTGCTATTACCATCCTGGTCAAGGCTGTTAGGTAGCCAGGCACCATCTAGTTCTGGTCGCAGGCTAGTAGGTCTCAGGTCAGTGTGGTCCAGCAGTCCTTTGGCTTGAAGAACCACCATATCTATCTTGGAATCAGGACAGCCAGAATACTCTTGAGCTTCTATCTCATGTAATTTGGACATGTTATTAGGAGAGAACAGGTCCTGGAGAACACGGTTGGTAGAGGTTCAGAAGGTAGGGGGAAAACAGACGACCTTCAATGACATAGATTGACATGGTGGCTGTAACAATGGGCTTAAACATAGAACTGTGAGGTTTGGCGGTATCAGGCAGTGTTTTATTGTCATACACAGGATCACAGAGTAGGAACCAACTCTATGGCACCTGGTAACAGAGTGCTGGCCGAATAGGTGAAGTGTGACTAATCTTTTATTTTTTCTTCCTTGATTAGACTCTACCTGGAACAAAATATTTAAGTCCTTTTATGTTTTTTCCCTTTTCCTCTGCATGTTAGCTTGAAATTAGAGAAAAGAAGTTCTAATTTTCATATGAGTTAGCGGGAACTGTAGATTTTCTCCTCTCTGATTTCCTGGGACAGGGCTTCACAGAATGAAATAATTTTTTCTACTAGCATTAGAGTGAAATTGTCCTTACATATTCAAGCTCAAAAGGTCTGGGGTTCAAAGCCATCCAGAAGCTCCATGGGAAACAAGACCTAGTGATCTGCTTCCATTAAAAATGCAATGTAGGAAACCCACTGCTATATGGTTCTCTAAGTCAAAAAGTGCCTTGAGGAATGAAGAATGGCGTTGATTATATGACCCAAGTAAGGAACAATACCCTTCATGTGAAAGTTCCTTGTACACATGAGCCCTAAAGCCTCCTCATAGAGATAATGATTGTGCTGCATTTTGTACTTATGGGTCCTTTTCTCTAGCTAGTTTTATCACATTTGTACCACTAATCTGTATACAATTTAAGTTTCATGAAGAATTTATCGGTATCTGCACCATTTTATACATAGCTCAACTTCACCGAGAACTGCCTTCCAGTATGCTCCTTCATAAAACTCAAGATTTTAATAAAATGCTTCCTGCTGGCTCCCTCCTTCCCTAACCTATACATAACTTCCTTAGGATAGGTATCTACCTTCCTTTCTTGGGTTTTCATCCCTAGATTGGAAGGCAGTTCTTACTGGGCATTTCTGAGATGTTAGGGGGCTTAGCTGCCCTACTAAATCTGATTTTCCCATCCTTTTCAGTGAGCTCTTGTGGACTTTACCACGTTCACCCAAAAGTGTTACCTGAAGAGCCTTTTCTAGCTTTGCTGGTTCTCAGATCTTTCTGCAGATTCCCTTCTGAGTGTCATTCTTGTCTCTATAGAAGAATACTTGTGATACTGTGCCTTATAATCTTTAGGACTCTAAAGTGTTCTTTTCCTTCCCACTGCTCTCTTCGTACACCTACTATATTTCCAAAAACCTCAAGTGAATCTTGCTGTTGGTGGTGAATAGCTGCAATCACTCAATCTGGTGTTGGGGCTATCTTATCACCAGATTTGTTGAAGATTATTTGGCAGTTTTTCCTTTTATGATCTTAATTGCTCTTTCTATGAGTGGATTTGGAAAGACTCAAACTGTATTGCGCTTTCCTGATTATTTCTTCCTAAATTCCATTAGAAGCTCTAGTGGCTTAGTGGGAAGAAATTGCACTTCCAACCCAAAGGGACATGGTTCAAATCCACTAATTGCTGTAAGGGAAAAAGATGGGCAATTGCTTCTATAACTTATAGCCTCTGAAAACTTGTGAGGGTCAACTATGAGTCAGTTCTAACTCAATGGCACATGGGAATAACAGTCTATTAATTTATTTTCTATTGTGACACTAAATTTGTATTCTTAAACAATTCTAACTTGGTTATTATGCAAAATAGAAATAAAGTCAAAACACCTGGCTGCTAATGAATTGATCTGACTCCTAGTGACCTTCCATAGCAACTCACAGTGATCTGGTTTCTAAGGTTGTAAATATTGAGACGAGACAGTCTATTTTCTCCTTGGATTTGAACTGCCAGAAGTGCTACAGACACCACAACCAGAGCATGCTAGTCATGACGTAGTAGTATTTTTAAACACACATGCGCGCGGGCGCGCACACACACACACTCTCATTCTCTCTCTCCTGTATTCTATTTACTTACATTTGTTTTAGGATTCTAAGATCTATATTCATGAGTAATACTGGCTTATGGGTTTTCTTCTTAAAACTGGACTTCTTAATTTTTTTATATCCCTGTTATGCTAGCTTCATAAAATAAGCTGGAAAGTACTCTCTCTTTCCATGTTTCTATACAGACATTCAAACTTAATTTTCAGAGACCTATAATCCCAAAGGCACACTGCTCAAATACACCAGATGCTCCGTGGGAGAAGGATGGGTAATCTCCTCCAGTGTAATTTACTGAAAACCAGCTGGAGGAGGGTCAGCTATGAGTCAGTTGCAACTTGATGGCATACAACAACAACAACAGCAACAATATTCAGTGATTCTGTACAAGGTTATGCAGTCAATAAATGCTACGAGTTAAAACCTGGGTTGCAGGTCTTATTCTTTTAGGGCTTCCCCCACCCCCCACCCCCCGCACTTCTTTTATCATCTATTTCTCTGATAGAGTTAGTGAGTCTTTGTGGTTTAATGCTAAGGAGATATGCTGCCAGCCTAAAGGCAAGCAGATTAAAAGCACCAGCTGCTCTGTGGAAGAAAGGTAGGAAATCTCCTCCACAAAATTCTGGAAACCCACTTTTGGATCAGCTATGAGTTGATTCCAACTTGAAAGCAGACAACAACAATGATATAGTCTGCTCTTAAACCAACTACCACGTTAAGGTCTTTTTAATAACTTAGAGAAGACTAGTATATGATTTAAGAAAACTGCTCCAGTTTACGATACATCATAGAAGGATTCAAACTAGGAATAATTACCTGAACAAAATTAAAAAGAACAAGGAAAAGGAAGGGCCAAGCTGGTTAGAAAACAATGAAAATAGTGATAGAATATAAACAGAAAAGTGTAAATAAACAGACAAAAAAGTGTAAATAAGTAACTGGACATTCTCATGAAGACTTAATTGCTTATTTAAAATTTACCTGATTCTAACATGGGTCTCATGATGGTGAAAGATTTGCTAGGAATTACATAAAGAAATCTTGTATGTAAAGAGGTGAAATATGGTTTTTGGGGCATGAATTGAGAGGAAATAACCACAAAACAACAATAAGAAATAGTTGAGTTCTATTGTAACATTTGTTTCTCTTAATACAATACATACAATTTACAAATAATTTACAAATCACACAGTGAATTTCAAATATATCAGTGTGTCCTTCTTGTGTAAAGCTGGCAAAAGGAAAAATAAAGAGATGTCCTATGCAGGTGAGCTGCTGCATAATAGTAAACTGAGGAATGAGCTACCCATTTATAGAATTTTTTTCCTACACTTGTTAGCTCCACATTGGCAGAGGATTTCCCTCTCAGGCATGCTCCCAGCTTCATAACCATAATCCCATGTCAGTTCTGTTCTTGCTTTCACATACCTGGAAAGTAGAAATTAAAAGAAAACAGAAATCACCTAGTGAGCCAGAGTTGATTATATCACTGTTTACATGAACATTATTAAACATTCTAAATGATATGCTCTATTCTTTCCAATTCCATGCACTATTCCTATCTGTTATTGGTAATAATAATGACTTGAGCTGCATTTCACATTTATTAAAATCCTAGATACTAGGGGTCAAATTGTATCTGTCCTGAGTAAGAAATGTGGAAATCCTAGCTTTTATTCCTGTGGATGTAATGGTTTTTGGAAATAGGGTTTTCCTTTTGTTGTGTACATGAGACATACCAGAGCGGGGCAGGTCCCAAACTGAAAGCCACCCACCTTGTGGTATTTGTGTTAAGGCAGCACTAGGAAACAAAGGTGTAATGTCCTACATAAAAAGGAGCTTGTCATTACTGTGTTTTGAAAACAGGGGACTCTAGTTGTATGTTAAGACTTGTGGTGTGAACAGTCACAAGGTTAACCCTGACTTTACAGAACATGCCACACTCTGCCGTGTTCATCTTCAACTAGACTGGACAGCTTGACTCCTTTATCATGTTCTAGCATGAGTTCTCAGAGGGAGTAAGAACTGAAAATCCACCTGTGCAAAATTTTGATCAGAATCACTTTGGGATAACTAAGTATTTGCTGCTGTTGTGGTGTACCACTGAGAGGACACAAGGAATTTTAGGGTAAGACAATACACTTAAAAAAACCCCAACAGTTGGCAAAATTGGAAAACTATCTGCAGAAGAATTAAACAAGATCCACACCTCACTCCATATAAAAAAAACAACTCAAGGTGGATCATGGACCTAACACTAAAACCAAGGACTATAAACTTCATTCAAGAAAAGCTAGGAAGAACTTTAGTAGTACTAATCCACAACATAAAGAGTCTTCCCAGTATTCTGAAAAATATACAACCAGGAGAAGATAAAATAGATGAATGGGACTTTCTAAGAATCAAATCCCGATGTGCATCCAAAACCTCCAACAGGGTAAAAAGGGAAGCCACAGACTGGGAAAAAGTGTTTGATAATGACATGTTAGGTAAGGGACTTATATCAAGAATTTATAAAATACTTGAGCACCACAACAAGATAAAGGTAAATAATTCAATACAAAAATGGACACAGGATATGAACAGACACTTCACCAAAGAAGACATTCAGAAGGCCAATAAGCACATGAAGAAATGTTCAAAATCCCTAGCCCTGAGAGAGATGCAAATCAAGACAACCATGAGATATCATCTCACCCCAGTAACAATTGCAAAATTTAACAGAACCGCAAGCAACAAATGCTGGTGAGGTTGTGGAGAAACTGGAACCCTTATGCACTGTTGGTGGGAGTGTAAAATGGTGCAGCCACTGGGGAAAGCGGTGTGGCACTTTCTCAAAAAGTTGCAAATAGAGATACCATTTGACCCAGAAATTCCACTACTGGGAATATACCCTAAAGAGATCATAAACGACATCCAAGCAGATATATGCACACCCATCTTTATTGTGGCTTTGTTCACAATAGCAAGAAGCTGGAAGCAACCTAAGTGTCCATCAACAAACGAATGGATAGAGAAGCTGTGGTATATTCACACAATGGAATACCACGCTGCGTTGAAAAACAAGGAACTCATGAAATATTATTCAAAATCGGTGACCCTGGAGGACATTATGTTGAGTGAAATATCCCAGTCACAAAAGGACAAATGCTATATGGTGCCACTGTTGTAGAATGAGGCTGACATCGGGGTGGGGGTAAAACTGAGAAAAACTGGATAAATTATGTTTACTGCATTGTGAACGATGAGGGAGAGAAACAGTTGAAAAGTGAATATATTTTAGGGCATCATGATTATCATAAGAGTCCGGAATGAGGGTTGCAGAGTGGAGTATTTTTGGGGTGGGGATGGGGGTGGGGGTGTGTGGGGGGATTGTGTACCAATGAAGGAATTTTTCTTTTACTTTTCAAGGAGAGGAGCAAACTGGGGGGGGGGGTTTGGGTGGGGAGAAAAGTGCAACAATGAAGGAATGGAACTCCAAAATCTCTGTAGATGTTCATTGAAATTACTTTTAAAAAAACATTTTAAAAAAAAACAAAAAAACACCCCAAAAAATACCCCAATAACAAAACCAACACATAACTTGATACTGCTATTTTTGTAAAAAATGTTATTTTAATATTTTTAAAAATAATTTTAATGAACATTACAGAGATTTTGGATTTCCATTCATTCATTGCTGCACTTCTCTCCCCGCCCAGCTATTTTTAAAGTCACAATTTCAGAATTTCATCAAATAAGCAAAACCATTTTCAAACCTGTTGGTGAAGAATGCCACCAGTGGGAAATTTCTGTCGTGTGTTTCCACAAAGACATTCTGTACCATGAGATTCGGGCAACAACTATGCTGTTAAATTAAAACAAAACAAAACAAAACTCAAAAAGGACACAGAAGTTAGATATAGAATAAAGCTGGATGCCTTGTACTTTGAAACATTAGAATACTATTCTGTTCTTAACCATCTTGGATTCCCTTCCCATCTCACCAATATATAAAATTTCATAGCTCATGGCACTTCTTTTAATAAGCTTGAACCCATTCAGAAAAGCCTTGTTATGATATTCTTTTTTTTTTTTTTTTACTATTATTGTGTGTGTGTACCATCAAATCAGATCTGACTGGTACAGGAGGAGACTGCCCCTCCTTCTCCAGCAGAGCACCTGATGGATTCAAACAACATGCCTCTGGGATTGCAATGCAGTTATGATATTCTTATATAATTCTGATAAAACTGCAAAATGATAGAGAATCCTAGAAAAGATTTTTCTACATCATTTTAATTTTTGAACCATTGGATATAGTATCTATGTGGGAAGAGTTTTAAAATAGGAAACCAAGACTGCATCTTTTCAGTGTAACTTTGAAATATCTCATGATCACTGCCTTTTTCCCCTCCCTCCCTTGATTCTCCTCTATGCCTCTCAATGACAATGCTGGCCATCACGTCACAGGGTTTTTTCTGTGTTGTTATTGAGGAAAGAAAGGAACTAATGTGAACTAGCAGTGGGAATAAAATCAATCGGTAAGAGTTTTTGAAAACTACATCCTAGTCTTGGATCCAGCAACTCTATGAAGTTAAAGAATCCCAAGAGCCTAAGTGAAACAATATTCCAAGAGTCCTTAGTTAGCAGTCAAACACTTGACACAATATTCTGACACAAGGATCTCCCTCTGAAGGTATTGGAGGAGGGAATGCGGGAAGAATTAGGGGCCATACAGACTTCCCTTCCTTCATTTTCACTTTAAGGGGAAAAATGAGGCCTCCCTACAGGAAGAAAGAACCTTTATGCAAGATAAAAATTAAGGCCGAATCTATGGACAGTGGAGTGGAGGCTGGAACTTTAAATCCTCTGTGAAGGGTTCAAAGTTCTTGTCCTCACTTTTTACTTTAGGGAATGTGGAGCCCAGAGAGTAGGGGACACCAAGCAGTGCCTAGCCTGCCTCTCTCAGGTGGTTCACTGTTCTAAGACAGGGGAAAACGCAGAGATACTGGGACCAGGGGCTGACTGAGATGCTTCCTCCTGGAGGATTCCTGGGATTATACATCTTTTGATAACTAAATATGATGGATTGTATGAGGCAGGATGGGATAGAAGAGCATTTGGAAACTCTAGCATGTGTAGGAGTGGTGACCAACAATACAAATAATGCCTCCCCTGCCCCTGTTATGAACATGGTATGACTCTTAATCCTAAATCAACCTTTAGAGAAATTATAACTATTTCCTGTATAAATGAAAACAAAACCAAAGCTATGTCACAAGTGTTGACACTAAAAGAAAATGGGAATGGTCTGTGAATTTAAAAAAGAACATAGTGAAAAACAGTGTTTATGTTCTACCTAAACAAAGTCACACAAAACTTAAAAGCTACTAAAGTCAATGGGTATTTTTAAATAGAGGCATTTCTGAAAAAGTTTTATTATATAAAACTCAAAACAGAAACTGATTCTGTGTCTCACTGGTATTATTTGGGAAGTAAGAGATTGTGGAAACCCTTATAAGAAATTTTAAAAATTCCTTTCATATATATATTTATAAGGTAAAGTTAAGTGCTTACTATGGGCTGGCACTGTTAAAAGCACTTCACATACATTAATTAACTTAAACCCACTAGATGTTTAATGTGATTTCTATATTTTTAATTGAGGCATAGAGAAGTGAAGTGAGCATGCCCAAACTATACAGCTAATAAAAGGAGTTGCAGTTATAATCCAGGCAAGTCTGGCTTCAGAATCTACTTAATCATACTTTCCTTATCATTTCTGTTAAATATAGCAAAAAAAAAAAAAGTTTAGAACTAAGAATCTCAGCCCAAATACTTACATTAAGGAAGCGGCCCACATTTCCTTCTTTTGTGGCATCCAATAAAAATGCATCTCCCTTATTGAACTTCCTTAAATCATCAGATGAAGCATATTTGGTTTTACTTGACAACTGTTCATCAACAAAGACCTGGTGATTTTGAGATGCTGGAGATGGTTCCTCTTGGGGCTTTTGTGTTTGAACCTCAAACTCCTTTATCATCCTTTGAGGATCCAATGTGGTCACCTGGTTACCCTGGTCCTTCGGTGGTGTTTCTTTACACTGAGTTATATCTATCACATCTGATTCAATCAGCAGGCTGTCTTCAGGATCTTTGACTGGGTCAGAGCGTGAGTTCTCTAATAGACATTTTGGAAGGAATTGTCAGGTAATAGTATTGGTTCAGCAGTAGGATGGATAGTATGAGATTAGCAGTACTACTGAGGGGTGCTTTAATTATTCCTGATCCTTACAAAGTTTAAGGCAGATGGTATAATTCTAATTTCATAAATCAAAACCTTGAATCTTTGAGGAACTAATGTATCATTTCACCCACAAGAAAATGACAACTACAGTAACAAACCCACAAAGTTTGGTCCTTTCTTTTTATAGCATTATAAGCTACATGTTGCTACTTTTTTACTATATTTAACCTGTATTCTGTACAAAAACTGACTTCCCACTCCCTTCAATTTTGGAATCTACATTTACGTACATTGTAAACAACATAACCGAATTTGATGCTGAGTATGTATCTCTATGGCCTGAGCAAACCCTGCCAAGGGCAGCACCGGTACTCCCGGGCGTGTTGTACACAGTAGTGTCTGGTGTTTTTATAAGAGGACTAGACTTTTTAATAAGTCAATAATATTTTAGAAATAGAGGCACTGCATAATCACTCTGCACACCCAAGAAAGTAAATAATTGTTAAGGCTTCCTAGAAAGTATGGACACATCTCAAACAAAGTAAATAAAATCATCTATTTACTTACAAAATGCCACCTTGTGCCAAATAACTCACTGGCACAAAGAAATGCCACTCTTGTAAAATGAAGCTCATGACTTAATAATTCCTGTTGCTAGTTGCTGCTCTTGAAATTATTCATAGTTTTTAAATCATGTGTCACAAGTGAGCCATAAGAAACTCTCATTATTTTTTGGAATGCTTGTTATATACATTAGAACGACAAAAGAATCAAAAGCAATAGTGACTTATTATGGTTCACAAGCACTAAATGGTAAACTCAGGCCTTTTCTACTATTTCCCAGAGCCTCCATCCTCTAAGACCAGGTAGGGAGCTGGACGTGCAAATGCAACAGAACTCAGAGGAAGAAGCAGCACTGCTTGCTGCTCAGGAATATATTGAAATATGTTTCACTGTAATATTAACTATGGAACTGATGTAATAGCAGAGACAGGAAACCCTGAAAGATAAACACTGAGGACAGCAAATTCTCTTAGCTAGATTCATGATGATAATCCTCTTAGCATTGCTCGCAGGATGACTACAAGAGCAGGAGGATGAAGTGTCCACATTTTTAAAGGAGCCCAACATAAGGAATTTAAAAATGGATTCTTCAGATAATGGTTCAAAAGGCCTCTGTAACACGTAAGGGGTCTAAAGACAGAAGACTTGTCTAATCTGCTCCATCGACCATGAGCCAGCTCAGTGTTGGCATGTAGACCAGAAGCAAGCAAATCTTTTCTGGGAAGTAAATATCTGTGGGCCATGTGAGTTCTGTTGTAACTATCAACTCTGGTGTTGAACTTGACAGCCATCCTAGGTAATATGTAAATAAATGAGTGTGGCTGTTCACCAATTTACCTTTTTGGTAATTTCATATAATCTTCAAATACTGTAAGAAATATATCTATAACTTATTAAAAATGTAAAACCATTGCTCATGGGTCATACAAAAGCAGGTATGGACTAGGCCTCCAAACAACAGTATGTCAACTCCTGATTGTTGTAATATCCATGAAGAATGTGGCATATGTGTTAGGAAGTTTGAGAAAATGACCCGCAGGTATTGAATGAAAAGGACAAAGAGGCAGAATAAAGACTTAAGGAACCACAGAGTGAAAACAGAGCCTACTTTTTGTTTCCACAGCTTCAGAGGTCAGATGTACTGGGCTTGGTTCCCACCCATTATCTTCTGAGGTGACAGACTCAGAGGAAGCAAGTCCCTTAAAAAAAAAAAAATGACAAAGATGTCTTTAATTCTTAGGTCAGGAAAAAGCATTTCACATTTAGACATTTTCATTAAGTTTCTGTCTTTACTTGCTGTAGGTAATAAGTCATAGAAAGCCTCAAAGCTGAAGTCACTCACACTAAAGCTGCACTTTTTGGCTGAGCTCTATTTCTAGGCATTTCAAGTCACAGTTAGAAAGACTTAAGAGATTATTTCATCCTGTGTCCCTCAATTCTAAGTATCTTTCGTAACGAGAAAGTAAGGAAACGTGGTGGTGCAGTGATTAAGGGGTTTGTCTTCATCTAACTGAGAGGTTAAAGGTTCAAATTCATCAGCTGCCCCAAGGGCAGACACAAGGCAGTCTGCTTCCCTAAAGACTTGTTTGGCACCATGGAAACAAGGACGACTCATAGCGACCTATGAACAACAGACCTGAATGCCGTTCTATCTTTGCCATCCTAATCGTCTGTGACACTCCTGAGCCCATTGCTGCAGTCATTGTGTCAAAACATCTTATTGTTGGTCTTTCTCTCTTTCAGAGACCCTCTATACTTTCCAAGGATATCCTATGAGGTAGTTCTTCCCCTGTGGGGTTGCTACAGTCAGAATGACATGCAGGCAATGAATTAGTGTACTGAGAAAGTACTGATACCAGATTATAAATGTGGCTTCAACTTAATGACATATAGAAGCCTATGGCAGTTTGAATCTACTAGCTGCTCTGTAGGAGAAAGATAAGCCAGTCTGTTTCCCTAAAATGATGGTCTTGGAAACCTTATGAAGCAGTTCTACTGTCTAATAAGGTTGTTATGAGTCAGAATCAATGGCAATGTTTTTTGTTTTGTTAAATAAATGCAAAAAGAAAACATACTTTGGCTAGTCTCTCCTTAAAAGAATAAGTTAAGATGGCTATTGTTATTCTATGTTGTAGACAATCACTCTGAACAGTTACAGTAATTTTTAAAAAGAAGGGTAATATGCTGAACACAATGCTTGGCACCAATTAACTGATGAATAGATGTGAACATTATTCATGTGCTCAGCGCTTGAATGGTCAACATTTACTAAGTGTTTAGTTGGATGCCAAACATTGTGCTAAGCAAACTTTATGATATTTGTTCCATTTAATATTTTTTAAAATTTATTATTAATTTCAATGAAAATTTAGAGACTTTGGATTTCCATTCATTCATTGTTGCACTTTTCTCCCCTCCCAACCCTTCTCGCAGTACACTACCCTCTTCAAAAAGTAAAAGAAAAATTCTTTCATTGTTTTACAATTCCTCCTCCTAGGTCCACTCCACTATACAGCCTTCACTCTGGCCGCCTGTCATGACAAAAATAACCTAATAATTTTCCCTCTTAAACAGTTTTCTCACTCATCTGTTTCAATGCAGTACACATTATTGAACCCATCCTTCTCAGTCTCCTCCCAACCCCGAGATCAGTCCTGCTTTACAACAGTGGCACCATGCAGTATTTGTCCTTGTGTGACTGAGATACTTCACTCAGCATAATGTCCTCCAGGGTCACCCATTTTGAATAATACTGCATGAGTTCCTCATTTTTCAATGCAGCATAGTATTTCATTGTGTGAATATATCACAGCTTCTCTATCCATTCGTTTGTTGATGGGTATTTATGTTGTTTCCAACTCCTTGCTATTGTGAACAAAGCCAAGATAAAAGGGTGTGCATATATCTTCTTGGATGTAAGTTATGGTCTCTTTGGGGTATATTCCCAGTAGTGGATCTGCTGGGTAGAATGATATCTCTATTTGCAACTTTTTTGCGTGTCATCCTTGCGCAGGGGCCATGCTAATCTTCTCTGTATCGTTCCAATTTTAGTATATGTGCTGCCGAAGCGAGCACTATTTGCAACTTTTTGAGAAAGCGCCATACCGCCTTTCACAGTGGTTGTACCATTTTACACTCCCACCAACAGTGAATAATCTGACACTGAATCTACTCCATAATTAAAGAAAAATATAGAGAGAGATGCCATCCAACAGGTAAGAATTATTGGAGGCCAGACCGAGGTCCATGTGTCCTTGGTCTAAGTTTTCATCATTATTTGATACCAAGAAAGTCCCTACCAATATACCCTAAAGAGACCATAAATGACATCCAAATAGATATATGCATACCCATGTTTATCGTGGCTTTGTTTACAATAGCAAGGAGTTGGAAACAAC